AAGATGAGGGATGGCCGGAAAGAGGTTTGGTCGCCATCTTCGTCACAAAATCTGGTCGCCATCTTCATCGGAAGAAATCCGCCATTTCAAGGGAAAGAGTTGCGCTACATCGACGATGCAATGAATTGGAATGTTCGGATGAAATCCGCCATTTGAGTCTCTTTACCCTTCTTTTAATCACTTTTTTGTCTAAAATCGAATGTGCTCACATTTTTGTCTATACGGGACCTCGTGGTCTCATTTTAGTCATTCTTTCTAAATAAAATGCAATTGTTAATTATAAATGTGTAACTTCTTTATTACATAAGGCCTGGATAAGGCATAGTTATAGTAATTAACACAAATTTCTCATACAGTTTGGACGAGCTTGGTTTTAAGGAACAGAGGGAGTAGCTTTTTTAAGAAATATCCTACTATATATTTTTTAGTTCAAGATTTTAATTCTTCTCTTTTCGGTTTTAGTTTTTTTTACCGATTTTAATTGTTCAGGTTCGAAATATGATTATATCTCAATGTCACATTTGATTGTAGTCTTTTTGGGTTATTTTTTAAAGCCTGTTATTTATATTATATTTATTTGATATAAGCCCTATTTTATGTGATTTGCACCGGACTTCTAATCTATTGAGCCGGTCCTGAATTCTAGTATAAAAACGTTATTTGGCACTAAATAAATAGGAAGGGTTAGCTACCAATAACTATTGGAACTGACGCCCAAAATTTAGGTGTATTATTTGTGATTTTTTAACATCATATATATTGCCATCAATTTAATATATAGTCATTCAGAACTAGGTAGTAATCCCTCCATTCCTAGAAATACTTCCAACTTTCCATTTTCGTCCGTTAAAAAAAACTTCATTTTTCATTTTTAGCAAAGAATTTGTGGTTCACAACATTTCTTTCTCCTCTAAACAATAACTCTCCATCACACAATTCTCACTTTCTTAATCCGTGTGTCACTTTATTTTGGAAGTAAATTTAGGGAGGGAGATATTAGTATATATTTGTGCCATCAAGGTAGGCAATAACAATTTTGTCGTGACTTCAGTGGATAAGATTTCGTTTCGAGATTGAAAGTGTTGTTGATAACTAAATACCACAATGACGGCGATAGATGGACGTGATTAGTTATTGCAAGGCATCAATTTATGATGTCGATTTAATAATTAGAGTTTGGTGAAAGTCACTAACGGGTTTGTGACATCAACTAAGGTCAGTGACAGTGTCTAGACTTTAGTTACCATTGTTGACCCGCCTCCATTCAACCAGTTACGATATTTTTACTTCGACTTAGGGTCTGTTTATAAAAGCTTCTGCTTTTAAAAAAGTGCTTTTTTTAATGAAATAAGGAGAAATGATTAAATAAAAGTTGATAGTGTTTGAGAAAAAAATGATTTTGAAAAGTAAAAGTGGGTAGTGTTTGGTAAAATAAGTGCTTTTTGTGTAATAGAAAAAGTAAAAACACTTTTGACACGGAAGCCGAGAAAAATAAAAGTTGTAATGTTTGGGAAAATAAGTGCGTTTTTAAAGCCAAAAACTGAGAAGTGCTTTTTTAAAAGGAGTTGCAAACCAACCCAAAAGAAATCAGATCACATTAGACCAGACCAGAATATATCAAACCAGATCAGATAAGACTCGGATAGTTATAAAATTACAAACAGACCCTACATTACCAGACCCGACCGCATAGCAAATTACCTAAAAACATCCTTATTTTTCCTCCACGTACTTTAAAGTTTGTTAGTGGCTCAAAAGTTAGAGTCTAGGATCCAATTTTATAATCAGTTAGTGCCTCAATCCTTTTCTGATCAATCTTATTATAGATTTGCGTCTCTCAATGGTGGGAGCGGATTTGGAGGTGTTGCGCCGCCGAGGAAACAGGGACGTACACGATTGTACGGAGAACAGAGCAGTCGCGTCCACATCCTTCATTCGCCTGTAAATGCAGAAGGCCCGCCAGGTCCAATAAGGAAGAAGGCTCGATTTGTGGGCGTCAAGTCTGTTTCGGCTTTTCGACTGTGAGGTCCTTTCTTCGTTTGTCTATGTTCGGGCCTTTCATGGTGGTTGGCTTCCATGGCTCCCAGTCTAATCAACACTTAATACTATGATCATAACATTCTTCTATGTCAGACTTCTTCACCAGTTTTTTTTACACATTGTAAACCTTTCTAATATGGAAGTAAGAAAATGATGTCATTCAATGTTATCCTCTCACCGGTAGATGTAACCTCGGGATCAAACCGTTCAGCTTTCACCTAAAATCAAATGACGAACTGAAATAAAAAAATTTGGTTCAGCTTTGAATTTAAAAATGTAAAACTACAGTTTGTTTGGTTCGATTTATTTTGGATCGGTTTCGATTTTTTCGTTTTTGCTAAAACATTTTGTTGATAAAAAAACAGTGATTTGAAAATAAAAACAAAAAATAAACTATATCAAACTATAATTAGCAGTAATGCAATACAAAATTATACTCCATAAATAATAAGGAGAACAAACAAATGCACTTCCAAACAATGAGTTAGAGAGTATATATCAATTTAACAATTTCTAAATTAATTAAACGCATAAGTTTATATACGAATAATATATAGTGTATCCCCATATTAAGAATTAAAATTTTATTTGTAAATGTTGTGTTTATTTATTAATTCATTTTCCTTTTTACTAATATACGGAGTATTTTAATTGATAGTAAATAACATACGACCGCTTCTCTTGCCCACTCTCTCTTTTCTATTCCAACTTTCTTTTATAATTTCATGCCTATTTTAATTTCTTTCCTGGTTCTTTTAAAACTTCCTTTACACAAAAATCAATCACACCATCTTACTTTTCTTATTTCTCATCGAATTCGGAGTTGGTAATGTGTAATGAGACGGAGGTAATATATTTGAGGTAAGGTCAGAAAAATGGACTAATACAAGACAAGTCCAGGTCGGGTCTTAAATAGTTCGATCATACGAAGTATAACATTTTTCAGGTGTACAGAGCAGGTCACAAGTTCAATGGATAGAAGTGAAAAAACTGAATGTGAAATGGCAGAAAGAAAAACATACACATGAAATTCACAAGAGTAGTTCATGCTCCGTATATGAATTACGAATAATATACCTTGGGCAGTTGGGCTTTATGCTTTTATGGTCCGCTTCTACGCAGCACTGATCCAATCATTTACAAAAGTTTCATGCATCTTTTTCATCACTGGACGGCCGACATCTCATATCCTTCAATTGCAGTCAATCTTCGAACCAGAAAAGTTCCTGAGTTAACAGGGTCCTTAAGGACCCTACAAAAACTTGCCTGTGACAGAATGGTATAAGCTCCAAGGAAATGGTCAAATGATCACTTATGAAACCACCTCAAAACCCAAACCCAATATACTTTCATAGAAACCCACAACTCATGTAGCTCATCATCATTACCCAATGTCGCAAAGGCTTCCACCTACAGTGGGGTAAGGGTGTCGGATGTACGCAGTCTTACCCCTGTACTAAAGTACAAAAAAATTGTCTCCGGATGATCCATAGTGAAAGTCACGTCAAAATTTGCATGGAAGTCTGTCGCTCCATGACAAAGAAGCACACACAGTTTAGTGAGTCATTTTACTCCACAACTCATGTACAAATAGAATTATTTTTTCAAACACCTGTTAATCAAGCTTCACTACTTATCTAACAAATTATTTCTTTTTTAGCATCCAAATATGTCCGATCAATAAGAATTAGGACTAGGGATGGACTCGGGCCGGGCGGCCCGGCCCGGTTACTGTTTGAACCGGCCCGGCCCGGGAACCGGTTCGGGGGGCGGTTTGGGTCGGCCCGGCCCGGTAGGAATGCGGTTCGGGCTCGGGCCCTAGGATTGGTGAACCGGCCCGGCCGGTTCGGGCCAAATTATTATTATTATTTTTTTTTTTTAATTTTTTTTAAGTTTTTGGGTTGGGCTGGGTATTTTGGGCCATTTGAGGTGGTTTGGGGGTGAGGGGGGAGGGTTGGGGGTTAATTAGGAAAAGCCAAAAAAATAGAACCGAGGCCCGGCCCGGACCCGGGATTACCCGGGCCGGTTCCGGGCCTCCCATTCCTGAACCGAGGCCCGGCCGGGCCCAGGCCTGAACCGGGCCCGAACCAGAACCGGTCCACCCCTAATTAGGAACTTCTGTTCAAATATTTGGAATTATAAAGCTTTACTTGATCAATCACAATTTCCTCTATGAGATCCTATGTTACTTTCATAGTTTCTAGGCCATTTCAAACCTTGACTACATGGCTCTTGCTTGCAACATGTAATGCTTCGATAAGGAAAAGAGAATAAAGTTGGTTCAATGCTTATTAGCTTTTAGCAAAAGAACTGAATATAAAAATAATAGAGACCAACCCTTTAACTTGAAATACTATTCTGCTACCATCAAAAATCATTTCAAGCAAAAGATCAACTCCAATGCACTCTGTATCAGTGTCAATCAATGAGGGATCTCAGTCACATCTGAAGTATGAACTGTTTTTCATCTTCTTTTCCCGAGAGCTGCTTGGGGTACCCCAATTTGTACCCCAAAGTGTACACCGTCTGTGTACACAGACATTTGGGTAGAAAGTTCTGCCCTCTTTCAAACGAATTGCCTGTGTACACAGGCAATTCAGGGGGTGGGTACAAATTGGGGTACAATTTGGGATACCTATAGAATTTTTGTCTTTTCCCTGTGGGTGTGGAGGGATTCATGCTTCTGCAGATGCTAAGAATCTTTTCCATGATCAAACAGATGCACAATGATTACATCTAGCATGTTATCCACCTATTAACCCGTCCTTGGTTCTGATGTGCCCATTATTTTCCTTAGGAACTTATGTTTTGGTAAACAAAATTTTGGGATGATAAAGCATATACTTCGTCCAATCTATGATAAGAAATGAAACAACTCTTGAATACCATAGTATTATACGTAGTATACGAGAAAATAAACTAAACTAAGTGAATAGTTTTTAGTGTCCACATAATCACATACTTACGTTACCTAGACAGGTAAAAATGTGACATATGAAAACAAGGCCCATTAAATTGTACAGACAGCTAAATGAAATTCTAATACTTCGTATAAGCTAATAAGCTAAAAGTTCAGCAGTGCAGAGACTACAAGAGGAATAGATCACAACACTATTTACAGGAACTTTTTTAAGAATTGAATTCCCAACCTAATTGCCAAATGGTGACTACTACGCTAGGGTATGCCTAGGCTATGCTTGACTAGAAAAACATTCTCCTCAGCAAAAAAACCCAATTTAAGACACTCATCAGCCAATAAATTAGTCATCGACCTCTTTGAAATAAGCCTTTTGTTTCTCCACAAAATTTTCAAACGCAGATTCTTCGGTAAAAGACAGCTTCCTTGAACGCCTCTTCTGCAAACAAAATTAGTTAATCACTAGTATCTCACCCATGCGTTGCACGGGATGTAATATGTAAATATTAGAAATGTTAATATGTAAACTTATAGATGAGAGAAATCGAAAATAAATAATCACAAGTGTTAAAAGTTTAAGAAGTTCACACATTATAAATGATTGAAGATCTCAGTGTAGGCGACATTTTTCACGGTTGGTTTTTGCGGATTTCCTTCATCGTCACATATCACAAGAAAGCACTCACAGTTTGCAATGTTTCCTATGTTTGCTGTTGACTCTTGTTCATTGTCGTGTAGTTAAACGTTAAGGGGATGTTTTCTTTCGACTTAATGAGGATAGCAATTTAATTGTTTAACAATGAAGTCATATTTACTTACGACTTAATTAAAACCACAACTTATCCATTCAATCAAAACACTGACTTAATACTTGCATTACATATGGTTAACTGCTTTTTAAATATGAATATTTGCATTACACATAACACATAGTCAAGCCTCAATGTGGTACGTAGTATAAAACTTGAGCTAAAAATGGAGGAAGTAAAAACTTACCCAAATTATGCTCACAAGTCCCAAAATGAGGATGTAAAAACAGTGTTAAACACAACTTCCGGAAAACACCTATCTAAAACCAATAACACTACTAAGACCGTGTCTAAGAATAACAGTTATGTGTTTCTTAGCATAACTTTGTCCAAGAATTGTATCCAGATAAGCTGAACTCTGCCAGCTCCAAGCTTCAAACATGCCACCAGTGTGATATTCTACTTCTGCAATCTTCATATCAAAAAAGCATTCTAATGAGATCAAACATACCTAAATGCCAAAAATCCAAGTAAAATAAAATCTTGTTTTATAGGTTTCAGATATCACCTAAACTAATTTTTAGAGGGGGCAATCAAGATTATAAAAAAAAAGTAGAATAAACTTATGCATGCTTCACAGTAGATAGATATAAAAGAAAAAAAGCTGAGTAAAATAATAAGCCGTAACCATTTCTAGGTTTCGACCAAACCAATTTGTTCTAAAACACTTGTTATGATGAGATAAGTGTATCTCTTATTTGTGCATCTTGTAACAGGATTGTCCATTAGAACCATAATTAGACTAACTCTTCAATGAAAGGGTTGGAACTTATATGCACATAAAACCAACAACCTTGAACCAATTATGAGATCATATACCACTATTCTGTTAGCAATATATCAGGGCATAACTAAATCAACCGGAACTACTATTAATTTATAATAAAACTGGAATACCATAAATAAGAACTATGTGCAGCCTTCTTCATTTTAGGAGCTCATCATGAGCTTATTCAATTTATATTAATGTGGGTGAAGAGTCACTGAAGACAGCCATGGCCCATGAGATGGTCAAAATCTCATCGTAAGTATAACCATGAAGACATCCCGTTAGAATTCTTAATAGGAAGTTTATATATGAGTCTTACCATCCTTACTATTTAATATAGACACTTAAAATAACGATTTACTAATTAAATAATACTCCCTCCGTCCCATTTTACCTGTCCTACTTTCCTTTTTGAGTTGTCCCAAATTAAGTGTCTACTTTCCTTTTTTGGAAAGAAATATGTGGCCTACACCATTTCACTTTATTATACTCAAATCTCAACAACAACTTTTACTTTTTCAACCACTACATTAATAATCGTGCCAAGTCAAACTAAGACACATAAAATGGGACAGAGGTAGTAATAAACATGAAGTATTTAAATATAGGCAGAATCTTAATATGTAGTTAACAGTTAGTATCTAAATATAGGCAGGATTTTCACAGAGTAGTATTTCCATCCTTTTTGTTATGTTTTGAACCATGCCCTTTTTAAGTTTAAGCTGCAAACCTTTTGATACTTAAAATGTCTGGCCTAACTTCAACCTAAAAGAGCTCTCAAGAAAAGATGTAAGCATTGCTAATATACTTACTGGCAGAGTTTATTATTCATTCTCATTCGCTAGACCTAGAAAACTCTCCAATTACTTTTTCATTCGCCTGACACGATGAGTTTTATTAACAGAAAAAAGTACACTGAATGAAACAGAACAAAGAACGATGGAGACATCTTAAGGCTATTGAATAGATTGATTTTCAAATATTTCCACCGAATTGTATGTCTGACTTCCTTTTTGCACTCTAACATTTTTGACACAGCCAAATACACATCAAGATATAATGTGCATGCTTAAAAGTCAAAACTAACCTTTATATATTTATTATATTGAGATAGATTAGTCAGATGCTTCCTCCTCTTGCAGCTCGAACTCATCAACCTCTTTGAAATAAGCCTTTTGTTTTTTCACAAAATCTTCAAGCGAAGATTCTTCTGTAAGAGACAGCTTCCCTGAACACCTCTTCTGCAAACAAAATTAGTTAATCATTTAGCCATTCAGGAATTAAGACACCACCACACACAAACATCCCTCTTTTTTCCTATGGGTTCACACATTCTCGAGTCAGATGCGGTAAAACTAAATGAGAATTTAATTACATATGGGTTACATACCTTGGGATATCTTTTACTGGGACCAGTCGTGGATAATGCCGACTCTTCTGACATAACTGAAAAAAGGGGTTACAAATCATATTGACATGGGCATGAAATTAGTGCTACGGGAATTAACAATATAAAGACAGAACTACAATTTTCTGAACAGTGAAATTTTTTATTCGTTCACAAACCCTTTGATAATCCATCCAGTACACAGAATATCATATCCACAACCAAGCATATTTACTCTGAGCATAACTACATATTACCACCCACTTATATACATTTGCAAATCTGAAATAGCAAATAAACAAGTAGAGTGTTAAAAATACAACACTAAAGCATGGTCAAGTTAGACCAAGTCTTACTGCGACAATTTAGATTCTTTAGTTAGAAGTTTGGTTTTCTCTTGTGGTTTCTATTTTTTCTTATCTCTAAATTTTAGTTAGCTAGATTAATTTACGTAGCCTATTTATTGGCATATTTTCTATTTGCAAAGAATCAATCTGAAAAAAATAAGCATCCATTTGAGAGAATTTATCTTCTTCGTTCCTTAATTATTGTGTACAAGTGTGAATGTAAATTGAGAGTTTATACATAGCAAACTTATAAAAAGGATGCAGATGACATAAAGGAAGAAGATGATTAAATATTAAAAGCTACAAGACTTGAAGTATCATTCTACAAATATTATTACTCTCTTTACTCCCCTGTATATAAACTACCTTATAATTCATTTTGCACATACATATTCATTAAGCATCTTACTGCTCAGATACTCAGAACCCTAATTCCCAATTACTAGAGTTCATCTTCTTCATTGTTCAATCTTTCAATTCTACCAGTATTGATTCACAAATTCAACATGGTATCAGAGCAGAAAATTGGAAGATCGATTTCAGGAATCGATTAAGAAAAGTTCGATTAAGAGAGATCGATTTTGAAGAAGAGATTGATTTAGAGAGGATCAGTAATCTGGCTACGATTTAAAACAAGTATTCAAACTGTTAAAGAGTTTATATGGTTCAAACCAAGCTTCTAGACAGTGGTATTGTAAAATTTCTGAATCTCTGAAACTTTTTGGTTACAAACAGTCACAAGCTGATTTTTCACTTTTCATTAAAATAAATAATAATTCTATGATTGTACAATTATTGTATGTTGATGACATTATTCTTGCAGGTAAAGACTTAGCTGAAATTGAATAATTTAAATCTTATTTGAATCACAAATTCACATTACAGGATATTGGTGAACTCAGGTACATTCTGGGTATTGAAGTTGCTAGATCAGAAAAAGGTATTTGTATTTCTCAAAGGAAATATAATCTTGACATACTTTTTGGCACTGCTTTTTTAGCTTCCAAACCTGCTATTACTCCAATGGATTCCTCTTTCATCCTAAAATATATAGTACTTTAATAGGTAGATTACTTTATCTTACTGTCACTAGGCCTGATATAACTTATAGTATTCAAACTCTAAGTCAGTTCTTATCTAAACCAACTAACATACATTTAAGTGCTGCTCATAGGGCATTAAGATATCTCAAAAGAACACCTGGTAAAGGCATTTTCTATTCTTCTATTTCTGATTTTAAACTTGAAGGATATACTGATTCAGATTGGGCAGGGTGTGTTGACACCAGAAGAAGTATTTCAGGTTACTGTTTCTATCTAGGTAATTCTCTTATGTCTTGATAATAAAAAAAGCAAACCGTGGTAAGCAGATTCTCTACAGAAGCTGAGTATAGAGCAACTGCTACTGTAGTTTGTGAAGCTCAATGGTTATATTTCATAGTTCAAGATTTACAGATTTTCAATTTCTCACCAATCAATTTGTATACTGACAATCTATCTACTTATCATCTTGCCTACAATCCAGTTCAACACCAAAGAACTAAACATATAGAAATAGATTGTCATATTATTAGAGAAAAAAGTAATACCAGTTTGATTAAACTTATTCATATTACTAATCCACTTCAACTTGCAGATATCTATACAAAAGCATTGGGCAATCCTCTCTTCAATAAAGCTGGTTAAATATTAAAGGATGCAGATATTAAACTTATTCAAGTTACATGTTCATCTATGCAAATATTATAAAAAGGATGCAGAAATTGCAGATGAAGGAAGAAAGCTGGTTAAATATTAAAAGCTACAAGACTTGAAGGATCATTGTGCAGATTTTATTATTCTCTATTACACCCATGAATATATATTCCCTTATAATTCATTTTGCACATACGTATTCATTCATCACCTTACTGCTCAGAACCCTAATTCCCAATTACATAAGTTCATCTTCTTCATTGTTCAATCTTTCAATTCTACCAGTATTGATTCACAAATTCAACAATACACTTCGATTTCTGAGTTTATCCATTTCGCTAGTCTTGTTCAACATAGTTACATAGAGATAGACACCTAAACATTTGTTCATTCCCAATGACCCAAAATAACATTTGTAAACACGATTCTAGGCATACTTTCACAATATAGAAACGGATGTGTGAAGAGAGGTTACCTGAAGTGCTGCGGGAAGAACGAGAGGGGGCTGAGAAACTGAGCTTTGTGTTGCTCCGATTTAGGACGGAAGTGGAAGCTACACTACTGGTATGGGATTTTGAATCAGGTGAGTCATTGAAGAAGTAGGACCCCGCTGAGGAGGGGCCGTAGTCGGTAGTTGTAGTAAAGTTGGAGATGTCCGAAAATGGCGGTCTCAGGGCCGCGGTAGCTCTAGACATCTGGCCTCGTTTCAGGCGACGCGGATTCCGAGCATCCATGTTTGCTGAACTTAGAAATGCAATTCGCTATGGTTGAAGAGAGAGTGAGAGAGAATGGGGTTGAGTTGCTGAGGATTGTGTTTGGCGGGAGAAGAAATGCTGGCATATACGGACGGAGTCTGAATGAACGAAAGTTGCAGAGCAGAGCACGATTCACCCGCAAGGTCGTTAGCTTCGACGCAATGAAATTTTATTTTAAGTGCCAAAATTGATTGAATTTGTGAAATTTTGATAAAAATTAGTCCACTTAAAATATACTTTGGTCTAACCATTTTCTATTTTCTATTTTTAAAGAATTAAAGGTCTCGCTCTAGAGACCCGTTAAAGAAGTTTCAATCCAGGAAATCAGCAATAAAAGGTATATTTTTACTTTTTATCACATATTAGATATGACGCGTGTTCTAGGATGGGTTCGGTTCTTTCGGTTCGTTTTTGACCTAAAATCAAATACGGAACCAAAGTAAAAGTTCGGTTTGGTTTTACACTCCAAAACTTGGAACCACGGTTTGATTGGTTCGGTTTGTTTCGGTTCGGTTTCGGCTTTTTACTAAAAATTTGTCATTTGATTTAAAATTGATATAAAAGGTGGAGGGATCAAACATATGTAGTATTACATAAAAATGCAAGCATACTTGAACAAATAAAGAAAATAATAATAAACAAATATGTCTTGAATTATATGAGTATGCGGTAGAGATAAAAGTGTGTATTTATTCTTAATTTACATTGTTTGTGACTAGTTTGAAAAACGTTTAAGAATACATACGTCTTATGTGATATAGCTGAGATGAATATTTATTTGTTTTATCAATATAAAAAATTTAAGTTACAAAAAAAATTAAGTTACATAAAAATAAAAGTTAATTACTACTAATAACCAGTAAAAACATAAAATCATGCAACAAATTGCAACATACATACATACATACATAAAAGACATAATTAATCAATATAGCTACATTATTATGGGCAATGAATGTGTAAATGCATTTATAAACTAAACTAAACATAGCACAAACATTATTTCTCTAGCACAAGAAATTCAAAGATTATTGATGATATTAAGATTAATGCTTACAATTAACAAATAAAATTACATATTTTATTTTTGTTTGGTTTGTTCGGTTCGGTTTTGAATTGAAGTGTAAAAACCAAAACCGAACCAAACTACTACGGTTCGGTTCGGTTTTTTACATTCGGTTTCGGTTTTTAGCGGTTCGGTTTTATTTGGTCGCGATTCGGTTTAATTTGATTCGGGTTTCGGTTTTTGGTTTTCGGTTTTTGGTTTTCGGTTTTTCAGACTGTTGAGGTTTATTCCTTCAACCCTCGGGTCCAACACTTAAGCCCAAGGATTTCGAGTGGAGTGTGTGTGATTGAACTAGCCCAACAGCAGATGATATGGATTAGAAAGGCAGTAAGGTAGCAAGTAAATGATTAGGTATTATTATCTCTTAATAACTCCCTAATACAATACTTTTCGCTAAGGCTCCGTCAGCCGTTCGTCTTACAAGGCAGTAGAAGTGCTGCGAGTAAGAATGCTGAAGCTAGTATGCTAAGAATAGAAAGTTGCCAACCCTTTACAATGAAATAAATGCTTCTATTTATACCCGCCAATGGGCAGGTGGCTGTGCTGACGTGGAGGCCTGTGGACCGCTTGTGCCCCAACCACCAAATCTTCAGCATTAAATGCACTTCCCGCCAGAATCTAGGTTTCCCGCCTAAATAATGGGCACGTTCGTCCGCCAGGGAAGCGAGCTGGATCGCTCCAAGTGATCCCCAAGAGGTTTCGGCTGTTCGTCTCCTGGCCTTGTGGATTCTCTTCATGCGGACTGGATTTCCTCGGATGACTACAGGCTCGCCATGGGGACGTTCGTTGTCATCCCCTGGTAGTCCGTGGTCCTGCTCCTCGTCCCTGCATAGACGTTCGTCGGGATGGGCCGCTGGGCCTAAACTCCCAACCTCAGACGTTCGTCCCTCCCCAAGGAATATGGGCCTGCGGGCTGGCCTTGTGGTCTGACTGGACGTACGTCTGGTGAAGGAAGGGTTAGTGGGCCGGACCTCAGCTTGGGCCCTTAACCCAACACAAGTCCCCCACTTCTGATGTTCTGAGCATGCGCAGGACATAAGGAAGTATGAATCTCCTCAAAGTAGACGTTCGTGTCTTGATACTTGTGTTTATCGCATCCGGTGGAAGCGTACGCTCGTGGTCATGGTGCTTAACAGCTGTCGACGGTTCAGGAAACGAGGTGACGGCTGCTGTAGCGGCGGTGCATTTCCCAAGGAGATGTTATCATTACGCTTTCGCCCCACGCACGGCGCGTGAGCCGGAATACGCTCCCTGCCACGCGTCAGCCTCCCGTTGGCTCCCCCACCGGTGTTTCCCCTATAAATGCCGGTTTTTCCCTCTGGATTAGGGTTCCCAATTTCTGCTCTCTTGTCTTCGAATTTCCGCAGCTCTTCAAGTCTTCTCCCGCTTCCAAGTTCGGCTAATCCTTCTAAGGTAATTCTCATCTTCTGCTTCTTTTTCTTGTCTTGAATTCTTGCCGCGATGGTTTCGATGGAGATCTCGTCAAGTTCTGGCTCGGGCTCATCGGGTTCCTCCTCGGGCTCCACTTCCGACCCCGGCTCACGCTCTTCGGGGGAAACCAGCACTTCTGGTAGTTCTGGCTCGGCCCCTACCGCGGGGACTGTTCAGGCCGGGGAGGCCCAAACTGGTGTTGTTGCGACTGTCCCTGGTGAGGAGGGTGCTGATTCGGGGGAGCAAAACAGTATGGCCCTCGATGTGGTGGACCCCGTGGCCGAAGGCGGGGAGCAGGAGTCCGTTAGCGAGGACGATCGTCCGGACGGGTATGACTCTGGGGTCGAGGCGCAGGATGGCTCTGACATCGAGGTATTTGAACTTGGGTTAAAGATAGATGTGGAGAGGCATCTATGCCCAATCAAGAACGTCCTCTGCCACGAGCAGGTTTTCTCGCAGGTGGCCCTGAACAAACTGAAGGTGTTCTTCCCCCCTCCGTCCGTATACAGCCTACGTGGCGCAACCCACGTGATGAGGAGACGCCCAGGAATGGTTATGGTGCTTCTGGACTCCATCGAGGCTGGGCTGCGCTTCCCTCTTCATCCGTTCTTCGTGGAATTCTTCTGTTGTTACCAGATAGCCCCCGCACAGCTTATGCCGAATTCCTATCGGTTCGTCTCCGCCTTCCTAGTCCGTTGCAAGGACAATGGGGTCACCGCCACTTTGGACTTGTTCCATTATTTCTACCGGCTCACCCCCCAAAATTCCGACGGTTTCCTGAGCATTGCAGCTCGTCCGAGACGGAGGCTGTTCAGCGGAGCACCGAGCTCCATCCATGACTGGAAGAATCGGTTCTTCTTCGTGCGGTATGCGGATGCTCGTCTGCCATTGCGTTGGAACGGCTATCCGCCCAAGATAGGGTCCCCGGAGCTGACCGTCGGTCTGGAGGATGGCATTAGGAAGATCTCAACGGGCGGCGTCCGGCCCTTAGACGATTTCCTAACCTTTGAGGCACTTGCCGCGGCAGGAATAGGTACCGCCCATGCTCTCGGACATCTCCCCTCCTACGCTCGTCTCGGGGTATTGGGCGGTCCTGACCTCCGAGGTGAGTTATTCCTGACGCTTGTCCATCTAACCCATTTTTTCATTTTTTTCAGGTCTTCCCCCGACCCAGGAGCAGATGAATCACGAGAAGCTCCTTAGGACGAGGAAGGGCAAAGGTGCTGCTGCCGATGCTGCCCTTGCCAAGGCCAAGGCCGTCCAGGCAGCTGATTCCAATTCTTCCGCCTCCCAGGCCGACCGTCGCACGGTGGAGGCCGAACAGCACCTTATTGCCACGGTGATGGCGCAGGGGTCCCAGGCCCCAATCCTTAACCCTGGCGTTCCCGAGGTCGTGGCGCCTCTGCAGGCCGTCCATCCCGAGGAGGGGGAGAAAGCGGACAAGAAATCCAAAAGGCCCAGGGGGACTGGCTCTTCGGCCCCTGAAGGGCAAGGGCTGATCCTCCCCTCTCTCGGACGTCCGGCACATGACGTTTGGCAGGAGGTTGCTTCCCTGGCCGGCGTGGAGATGCCTCCCCGCACGTCTTCTGAAGCTTCCAATGCGGCTCTGGCTGCCGCTCTTCAGGTAAAATCTCGCTCCACACAGGGTGCCTGATTACCTCATTCTAATGTTCCGAAGTCTCACCTCCCGCGTTTGATTTGCAGGTCGGGCTCTCCGTTCTGCAGTCTGAGGCTGCCCGAGAGGCCGAGGTCCTCCAGGCGAGGAATAAAGCAGATGCTGCCCTGAAGAAGGCGAGAGAGGCCGCTCGTCTGCAGGATAAGGAGCTGGCCGCCAAGGACAAGGAGCTGCAGGCCGCCCTGTCGGTAGCCCGCGAGTCCTCTGCGAAGCTCGCAGCCCTGGAGAAGGCCGGTTTCAAGCTCGTCCCGGCTCTTCCCGCCCCCAAGGATGAGGCCCCCGAATGGCTCGTCGACGACTCTGGGTATCACAACTCCGGGGCCTTCATGATCGCCGCCCAGAAGTATCTTGGGGGCGCTTTTGGTGATGTGTTCGCCGCTGAGCTGCAGAAACAGGCGCCAAAGGATCGGCTCAAATTTGGGGTCCGAATCCTGGAGAGTGCGCCCCTTGCCGAGAAATTTCTATATGATGTTGGGGATAGCTCCTTCGTCATTGGCTACAACGAGGGGGTAAAGGCCACACTGCCGGTCTTCGCCGCTCTCCAGGGGCCCAGATTTGACCTGGCCGAGCATACCTCTGATCCGGAGCTGGTCCGGGCGGTGGGCAAGTTGAAGAGGGACGCCCGGCGGGAAGAGGCCAAAGCCAGAGGTGAGGTCCCGGAACCCCCATCCCCCGAGCCGGAGCCCGAGGAGGAGGAAGAAAACATCCCTGGGGGGTCCCGGCCCGTTTCTCCAAATTTTGTGTAATGTAACTTGCAGTTTCCTTGTTTTGAATCTGTACTTATCCGGCCAGTAGAGCCGAGGAATATACAACTCTTTTGCTCTATCATTGTCTCTACGTTCATGAACTCTTCCTGTTTTCTTTTATCGCTAATACTATCTTGCTCTCATTGGGTATACGAACGTATGCTTTGGAATACCCTACATGCGCAAACCACTCCCCAAGACGTACGGGATGTGGCCGTAATCTCCCGGATC